GCAAAGTGCTAGTACAAAGCACCCAAGGAGGAGGGGACCCAAAGGGGTTGCCACAGACTCAGTGCATTTTTTTTTTTTTAAAGATTTTATTTATTTTTTAGAAAGCGAGCGAGAAACAGCATGAGAGGGGAGAGTGTCAGAGGGAGAAGCAGGCTCCCCGTTGAGCCGGGAGCCCGATGTGGGACTCGATCCCAGGACCCTGGGATCATGACCTGAGCCGAAGGCAGACGCTCAACCATCTGAGCCACCCAGGCGCCCGACTCAGTGCATTTTTAATCTAACTTCCTTTTTTATTGTTGTTGCAGAAATTGACAAATGGGACTTAAAATTCATATTCAGGTTCATATGGAAATGCCAGGGACCCAGAATAGCCAAACCAGTCTTTAAAAAGAACAAAGTTGGAGGACTCACACTTCCCAATTTTAAAACTTACTACAAAGCAATGGTAATCAACAGTATGGTACTGACATAAGAATAAATGTATAGATCAGTGGAACAGAACTGAGAGTCCAAAAATAAACCCATACATTTATGGCCAATTGATTTTCGACAAGGATGTAAATTCAATGCAGGGAAAGGATAGTCCTCTCAACCAATAATGCTGCAGTAACTGGACATCCACATGTAAAAGAATGCTATCCCTCCCTCATAGCTATATGCAAAATGCAAAATGGATTAAGGCTTCTATTTAGGGCTAAACTACAAAACTCAGGAAAGAACATAGGTACAAATTTTTGTGACTTTGGATTAGGCATTAGTTTCTTAAATATCATACCAAAGGCCAAGCAACAGAAGAAAAAATAAATTTTACTTCATCAAAATTAAAAACCTTTGTGTATTAAAGGACACCATCAATCAAGTGAAAAGACGACCCAAAAAATGGGAGGAAATATTTGTAAGCCATATATTTGATAAGGGATTAAAACCCACAATGCACAAAGAACTATTACAACTCAACAATAAAAAGAGAAATACTTCTATTATAAATTGGGCAAAAGATTTGAATGGACGTTTCTCCTAAGAAGATATAGAAATGGCTAATAAGCACATGAAAAGAATGCTCAACATTATTAATCACTAGGAAAATGCAAACCTAAACCACAGTGAGGTAAATACTACTTCACATCCACTAAGATGTTTATAATCAAAAAGACCTCAAATAATAAGAAGCATTGGTGAGGAAGTGGAGAAATTGGAACCCCAGGGAGATTATGAAGTGGCGTAGCCACTTTGGAAAATAGTTTGGCAGTTCCTCACAAAGTTAAGCATATAGTTACCATATGACCCAACAATTCCACTCTTAGGTAAATACCTATGAGAGTTGAAAACATATGTCCACACAAAAACTTGTACACAGTTGTTCATAGAGCATTATTTATAATAGCCGAAAAGTGGAAATAACCCAGATGTCCCTCAACTGATGAATAGATAAGCAAAATGTGATTGTCCCATACAATGGAAATATTATTCAGCCACAAAAGGGAATGAAGTGCTGATACAATGTACAACACAGATGAATCTTGAAAACATTATGCTCAACGAAAGTGCACGTATTATATGATTCCATTTATATGAGATGTCCAAAATAAGCAAGTTCACAGAGGTGAAAAGTAGAGTAGGGATTGCCAGCGGCTGGTCAGAGTGGGGAATGAGGAATCGAGTGTTGATGAGTTATGGGGGTTTCTTTTGGGGTGATGAAAACGTCCTGGTATTAGATAGTGGTGAGGGTGTGCAACTTCGTGAATATATTACTTGCCACTGGATTTTATGCTTTAAGAACAGTGAATGGAGAAGAATGTGAGGTTGAGTGTTAATAGCGTATGAAGCCAAATACCACGTCTGGTGTTAACAATGAGTGGAGCAGAACGTTGAGTCTGGTGTAAATCATAAGTGAAAGAGACTGTAGCATCAACTCTTAATAGACAGGGGAGCAGGATGTTGAGTCTAACATAAGGAAAAGGAAGCAGATGTATCTGCTGTTACAATTGCACAGAGCAGAATGTGTTGTCACGTGGTAACAGTAAATGGGGTTTGCTTTCAAGCATTTATAGTGAAGCTAGAAGAATGCAAAGTCTAGTGTTCATAGTGCAAAGGGCAGATTATTGAGTTTTAAGAGTGAATAGAGGCGACAGTGGTGTCTAGTGTTAATGGCAGATGAAGCCGAATGTCATCTCTCACATTAAATGTTAATGGAACATGAAATATCATGAAAACAAAACAAAGTAACATTGGGGAGATTGTTCTAGATTAAAAGAGTAGCCATATACAGAGGCGCCTGGGTGGCTCAGTCAGTTAAATGGCTGCCTTCTGCTCAGGTCATGATCCCAGGGTCCTGGGATCGAGCCCCACATGGGGCTCCCTGCTTCGTGGGGAGCCTGCTTCTCCTTCTCCCTCTGCAGCTCCCCCTGCTTGTGCTCTCTCTGTCAAATAAATAAATAAAGTTAAAAAAATTTTTAAAAAAGAGTAACCATATACAATATGAATCTTGACTGGATCCTTGATTGGATCCCTCACCATATTTGCTGATGATGTTTTTTGACATTTGGGAAAACCTAAAGTTTCTGTATTAGATGATATTATGGAATTATTTCTAATTCAATAATTATTGATATAAAATTGATATATATAAATATAATTGATATAAATATAATTATTATTGAACTAATGTTAACTTTTTTAGATGTGACAATATCATTGTGGTCCTTATTCCTTATTTAGAGATGGCTTGTCGTGATGTCTGTAACCATTAAATGATTCAGCAGAAATTATGTCTACCTACCTACCTACCTACTTACCTACCTCCCTACCCACCCACCCACCTATTATACAGAGAGAGAACTAAAGTAAATGTGGCAAGATGATAACAGTTGGAATCCAGGTGAAGGATATTAGAGTGATCATTGTATAGTCTTCCAACTTTTCCGTATCAAGACAGAATGTTAAATGAGGCATTAATTGGAAATGGTACAAATGTTGTATTTAGCATAAGGCTGAAGGGAGCAGAATATGGAGTCTGGCATTAACGGTAGAGCTGAATGTTGTGTCTGCTGGTGAGTGATTAAAACAGAATGTGACTCAAACAGTAGTAGTGAACGTGGTAGAATGCAGGGCCTAGCGTTAGGAGAGAGTAAAGCAGAATGAGGCATCAAGCATTCATAGTGAAGGCAGCAGAATGTTGTACCTCACGTATGGGTGAATGGAGGAGTATGTGGTGTCTGGCATTAATAGTAAATGAAGCAGAACATTATGTCTAGTGTTAAAAGTGAATTAAGCAGAATGTGAGGTTTGGTGTTAACAGTGAAAGGAACAGAATGTTGCATTTATTGTAAGGGTGACTGGTGGAGAATTAGTGTCTGGTGTCAGTAATGAAGTGGAATGCTGTGTCTGGTGTTCGAAGAATGGAGCAGAATGTTGTGTCTAGCACAGAGTGAATGGAGCAGAATGTGTATCTGGCTTATATAGTGAATGGAGAGAAATGCTGTGTCTAGTGTTAATAGTGAATGGAGCAGAGTATGGTTCAAGAGTGAATAGTGAAAATAGCAGGATGTGGTGTTGAACGTTAGAAATGTGGAAGAAGATTGAGGTGTGGCAGAGAAGGGTTCACGTATGATGTTTGGGATGAGGCTGCAATCTTACAAAGGACCTACTTGCAAGGTTGGCCCTTGGTTGACAGCTGGGAACTTGGATTTTGGGAATGTTCCCACTTCCTGTAACTGATAAGGATGCCTACTGTGCCTAGACTGCCAATACCAACAATATGGATTGTGCTGAATGTCTGCTTTCCTTCTGGGAGTCCAGAGTTTTGCTATGTGCCAGGCAGAGGGGGCCTATGTGACCAGCACCCAATAAAAATCATCCATACTGAATCTTTTTTTTTTTTTTTTAAGATTTTATTTATTCATTTGAGACACAGAGATACAGAGAGAGAGAGCATGAGCAGGGAGAGAGGCAGAGGGAGAGGGAGAAGCAGGCTCCCTGCTGAGCCAGGAGCCCGATGTGGGGCTTGATCCCAGGACTCTGGGATCATGACCTGAGCCGAAGGCAGACACCCAACCATCTGAGCCACCCAGGTGCCCCATCCATACTGAATCTTAATGAACCTCAAAACAATGTTTCTATCTCCCTGGGCAGAAACATCCCACACATGTGACTGCCTTTTTATTGTTAGGGTAAGAATGTGCTCTGTGTGGTCCCTCATGGTGGGGAGAAAACAAGGAAGCCTGCAGATGGTTTCCTCCAGACCCTGCCTGTGTCTTTTTACTTTATCACCTAGCTGTGTATTCTTTTTTTAAAATTTTATTTTTTTTATTTTTAGAGATTTTTTGTTTTTATTTTTTTCAAGGATTTATTCATTATAGAGAGAGAGAGAGAGAGTGAGTGAGTGCTCGAGCAGGGGGAGGAGCAGAGGGAGAGGGAGAGGGGAAGCAAACTCTATGCTGAGCGTGGAGCCTGATGTGGGGCTCCATCCCATGACCCTGAGATCATGACCTGAGTGAAACCAAGAGTCCCACGCTCAATGGACTGTGCCCCCGAGGGGCCCCCCTAGCTGTGTATCCTTAATGCAACACTGTAAGAAATCTTAGCCGTGAGTACAATGATATGCTGAGTCCTGTGAGTTGTATCAAATCTCTGAACGTGGGGGTGGTCTTGGAGACCCCCACCACAAAGCATCTACTGTTAATGGTAAAAGGAGCAGGATGTTGTATTTAGCACTAAACGTGAATGGAGGAGGAGGTGGAGTTGAGTGTGAATAGTAAGTAAAGCAGGATGTATGTGGAATGTTGGTAGAGAATGGAGCAAAACCTGGGGGTTGGCAACTGTATACAACATAGTGTTCAGTCTGGAGGAGAGGTTTGATGCATCAGAATGCTGGATCCTGCCAAGTGCAGCAGATGAAGACAGAGTGACTAATTCCTTATGCTCCCTTTATCTCAGGCAGGTAGGGAGATGAGTGTCCTTCTTTGTCCAGGTGTTCTGTGCTCTTGGGCAGTAGGACTTACCTTGGGCAGGGATGCTCGGGAGCCAGAGCTCTGGGTGGTCATGGTGAGCACAGTGGTGATGCCCAGGCCCACACGGGCTGGTGCAGCATCCATGTTGATCCAGAAGGAAATCCACGAGAGGATGACAATGAGTAGGCTGGGAATGTACATCTGGATCAGGTAGTAGCCCATCTGTCGCTCCAGGTGGAACCGGGCCTCAATGCAGGTGAATTTACCTGTAAGAAGTTAGAGTGAGAAGGCAAAGTAGCCTGGTGGGTAGGAACATGACTCTGAGGTCAGAACAACCTCAGCTGGAGTCCTGGTTCAGCATCACACTAGCTGTGTCCTCAGGCAAGTGATTGGATCTCTGTGTCTCCGTTTCCTCATCTGTGGAAAATTGGGGATGATGATGATGATGATGATGATACCTACCTCACATGGTTACCTGCGTGGTTACTGTGAGTATAAAATGAGATGATGCCTATAAAGAACTTCGCACGGTCCTCACATCATTTATGTTCAGGGATGTCAATTGCCATCATCCTCATCAGCCCTGTTTTGTTGCTAAGAGTGGGCCTCAATGGATCAGTTATCTTCCCAAAACATGACTTGATCCTGTTACTTCCTCTTGTGAAAACTTTCTTTCCTTCCTTCTCTCCTTATACCAGAAAGTCCCCATTATCTACAGGGAAAAGTTCAAACTTTTCAGTTTGCTCTTCATAGTCATGCTCTGGCCTGTTTTTCCATCCCACTTGCCTTCTTTCTTCACCCTAATCATGAGCCCCTCCACTCTATCCCTTGCCTTGAGCATGTCCTGCACTTTGACCTTTCTGAGCTTTGGCTCCTGCTAATCCCTCTGCCTGGGATGCTGGGACTCTTCCCCACAACCAGCCAAAGCAACCCTCCAGCTCCTCCGCGGTGCTTTGAATGTCACGTCTGCCCAGGCAGAATGACTCTTCTCCCCCGTGAGTTCCTTCAGTTCTGTTCATGCAGTCATCGGGCCTTTAGGGCATGATGTACTGAGGATGTAGGTACATTGGTCTGTCTCTCCTCTGCAATGGCCTGTGGGCAGCTGGTCTCCTCCCCCTCTGTGCTTGCCTGGAACTGGGGTGGGGCCGGTCCCATGGAGGGGGCTGGTTCTCAGCTCCAGCCCCCTGCAGCGCGGTTATTAGGGGAGTTCCTAGAGCTCTCTGGACTGGCTGCCCTGTGTGGGCAGGGCCTCGTCAGCCTCTCCCCCTCGAATCCACAGGGCCTAGCACAGAACTCAGCTCTCACTGAAGTGGGAATAGTGAAGAGCGAATGAGATCATGAATAAGAAAATGCTGTGTGAACAGTTTCGGGCTGTGGTACGCGAGTTAGTGTGACTGTGTGATCCGTGGGAAGTCACTGCTCTCATGGCTGCTAATGGGAGTCCCATGACCTCTCTGCATCTCAGCATGCCCAGGGATCAGGAGAGTATCTCTGGAGGTTCTGAGGCATCTCGGAGGTGACCCAGGAAGGGGCAGCTGTCCTCAACAGACCAGAGCCCAGGCTGCCTGCCCTTGCCCTGGGCCTTCTACTTGCAGCAGAGCACCCAGTGATTTCTCTCAACCCCCCTGCTTCACGTCCTCCCCTCCCTGGCCCCTGTCAGCAGCCTCTTTCATGCCTCTACTCTCCTCAGCTAGGCTCAGCAGCAGCCTCCTGCCCAGCCCTCCAACTTGCGTACTGCCTGCCTGCCTTTCTTCCGCTGTGGCTCCGTGAGCTCCTTCCCAGCCTGCGGCAGGGCAGGCAAGGCCAGTCTTGATACGACCCCAGTTCATTCCTGCATCCCATCTTCCCACAAAGGCTGTGCTATGCCTGGGAGACCGCTGAGCAGAACAGCCGTGGCTTCTTCCCCCTCTTGCAGCTTGCAGTCTAGGGGGACCCTTTCCAACTGCACTGTTTATGAACCTCAGTGCCACCTCTCAGCTTCCTCCTGCTGGGGTCTGACGAGAGCACTCTGTGTACTGTGTCCTGTCAGAAATGTAAGTTCCCCTGTGACCGATACTGCTAGATGTCCTAATAGCAGCTCCTCCCTTCCGCCTTGGGAATAGGATTCATTTTGACCTGGGCATGCTGCTACCTGGAATGAAGACTGTGTCTCCCAGCTTCCCTTGCAGTGAGCTATGGCCTGAGCTTTACTTATGTGCCCCAGGACATCTGGGAAGAAAGTATCAGAGTTTCAAAGACTATGCTCTTAACCACTAGGTAGTAAACACAGAACTGTGTCCATCACGGGCACCTCATAAGATCTATTGGATCAAAGGCTGAATGAATGTTTGGACCTACCTGTGTTGTAATGCTTTGTGCAGTATCTCAAGTCCTTCTCTTCTTTCAGGATAAACTGGGGTAGAGTTAGTCCATCTGCCACCTGCACAGCTCCCTGCTCCTGCCACTCGAAGATCAGGTCATTCATGGTATATCCAACTGGGATGGGGGATCAGAAGAAGGAGTGGTCACCACCCAGAAGCACTTATTTGAGGCATGTCAGAGTTGGTTTGGGTTAGAGACTGAGAGGCATCAGGTACTAGAGGGAATGCATGAGACCATGTTGCCTCACCACCACCCCTCCTGACTCCTCTTCCACCCTCTCCCCACCTCCCCTGCAACCAAGGAGGTTAAAACAGGTTTTATTGTTTATATCAACCCCCCTGCCTTCTACCTCCCTTCCTGCCCCTCCCACCATCCTATATTGGCTTGTCCTTTTGCCTCCACCTCTTACCCCTGTGGTCCTAGTCAGTTCACATCTGCTATTTGGCCTGCGTACCATCCTTGCAAGCTCCCTGCTCTGCTCACAGCAGCTTTTCCTCTGGGGAATGACTCTACAGAATACTGTTGTGGGACTATCAGCTGGGGGCCAAGGTGTTAGATAATGACTCAACTAGACCAGTCAGACGCTCTGTCCCAGGACTTGACTCTTGAGTCAAGTGACAGAAGGTTCAGGAGTTGGCTGGTGCCAATTCCCTTCAGATGTGGTGCTCCACCTAAATCCTCTGCCCTGGTTCCTGTACTTTCAGCTTCTCTTTCAAGTCCGTGAGGAAGCCCTATGTCCTTCCCTTGAATTCCACCTTTTAAATTAGATTGGTTTCTGTTTGCAGTCAAAGAAGTCAGCTCCCTCCTCTAGTAGGTTCACTTGTGACCTCCGACATAAAGCCCTCTCCAGTGCCCCCTCTCTTTCCCAGTCAGAAGGAAGCACTCTTTCTGCCGGGAGTCACAGCATTCAGACTTCCAACAACACACTTACCACCTGCTGCCCTGTGTTAGAGTTATTTGTGCAGCTAGCTGGCTGTCTCTCCAGCTGCAGGGAGCATCCCTGTGAGTTCAGGGACCGTGACTTATTCAAGCTCTTTCTCCTCTGTTCCTGGAGAGCATATTCACAAGGGACATGGAACAGTGCCTCTTGGGAGAATACTGCTGGCTCCAAAGCTGGGCCTCAGCCAGCCAGTAAGGGGGTTTAGATTTCTAATGCATTTTCAAAAGCGAAGCCCCCCCATCTGGTATTTTGGGCTCCGACAGTCTTCTTGTGGGGTCCAGCAGTTAGGAGCAGCTGTATGGGAATTTCTGCAGGTCCCATGGGTAAAGGGGAGTCTGGTTCTTTCTAAAGCCCTCATGCAAGGGACTCACAGCTTTCCAGTTGCATGATACACGTCTGGACATCCATGGGGAAATTCTTCAAGTCCATGGGGCAGGCCAGTGTTAGGGTGATTCTGAGAAGAGAAGGGAGTTGAATGATGCTAGAGCCACAGACCAGGGAAGCTGTACCTCCGTTCTGGTTATTACCAGAAAATCAGTTATCTTGGACAGGTCAAGGAGGTCAGGGAACTAGTGTTTATGGAAATAATATATGTATATTTCTACATTCCAGATATGGAAATGGAGGCTCAGAGAGATACAGTAGGTTGCCTAAAGTCATACAGTCGGTGAACTTCTGGGTTTCCGTGGAGTCTGTCTGACTTCTAGACATCTGCTTTCAGCAAGGGAAATGAAGGCCTGGAGGACCTTCTGCTAGGCTCTGAGTGGGCATCGGATGCACACCAACACTGCCCCTGATCCCTACTCTTCTGCAGAGGCTGAATTCCACGTTGAGCAGCCCCAGGCCTCAGGCATCCAGATGCACTTGCAGCAGGGGCTTCAGGTGGTTCTTTGCTGCCTCCCTTCATGCACTGGACTCATCAAACGTTATTTTAAAGAGGCCCTTGCCTTCTGGGTGTCCAAACAGAGCTGGCTCACACCTGGGGGCTCGTGCTGGGGTCAGTTGGGAAGTGGTGGGTGCCCCAGGCTTCTGGGAGAGCTGTCTATTTTGGTTTGTTCCACTCTTGCCGAGGCTGAGCCTTCGAACTAGAGGGAGTCCCCCAACAGAAGCAAGGTCCACAGTTCAGGCTAGGATGCAAGGCTTCAGCTTCAAAGGCTGTGCCCACATCGGAGCACCTGCTGCAGAGAATAGAGAAGAAAGGCTCTCAGAGCCCAAAGAGGCTTAGATCATCAGACCAACTCCTTCATTTGACAGTTGAGAAAACTGAGGTGCAGAGAAAGATTGGTCGGGACTCTTGCAAGGTCACACAGCGTGTGATGGCTCAAAGGCCGGATTCAGAACTGTGTTTCCTGGCCATTGGATTCTGAGCTCATGTGTTTACTTTCTGACACTGCTCTCCTGGAAAGCGCTTCATTGGTGGTGGTCTGGGAACACTCAGCTGCCAGCGCCTTACTGCACATGGTGAGCACACGGCCCTGTGTCAGCCTCCTCCCTCCAGCTTACACCCACTGCTCTGGGGTTGGGCCCCATTTAAGCACAAGGTACAAGCAAGTGGGGGGAAAAGGGAAGGGAGAGGGAGGGGGAAAGTGAAGAGAAGGTGAACAGAGTTGAATTTCTGAAGATAAAAGCTCCAAAGTAGGGCAGCTGTCACACTAGGTTAATTTTCTGAAGTTGAATGACCTTGGGAACATCACTTTCTGCTGATTTGTCCTTCTGTCATGCTGCATGGGGCTTAGCTTTGTAGAGATACCAAACCAGCCTGGCAGCAGCAAAATCCAGCAGAGTAACCTCTCCTGCCCCAGCCATTAGGGCACTGGTGGTCATCCCGAGCCCACCACCCTTCCATCTGGATGTGCACTGGCAGGATGGGCTCCAGGGTGAGGAAGGCACGTCCTCTCCTCAGTGCCTCCTTTCCCTGCTGAGGTTCTTAAGTCCCCTCTCCCACCTGGCCTGCTCGCAGGAGTCACCCTGAGTCCAGTCACATCTGAAGGTTAGGATGGTTGCAGCCTCGCCTATGGGCCTGGACATTTAAAGCTCATCTCCTAATGGAAACAGAAAGATTTATTCCCCGAAGAACTGGAGGGGGAGGAGGAGTCATTTAGGGCCAGTGTCCCTTTGAAGCTCTTTGAAATAAACACATACTCATTCATTCATCAAATGAGTGCCTATTGAATGCTGGGCACTGTTCTGCTAGGCTCTGAGTGGGCATCGGATGCACACCAACAGATTGGAATTGGGGCTGTGCTACTGGGTGGCTGTGGGAACTTTAGCAAGTCACTTAAATTTTCAGATCTTCACTTGTCTGATCTGCAAAATGGGCGTAATAGAAACTATTTCATGGAATTGTTAGGAGGATTACAAATAATATATGTAAAATACCCAGCCTAATCAGTAAATTCTCAGTGAATGCTACATATGTAAGAATCTAGCATGGACGTTGGTCATTTTCTCCATGACTTGGGGGTAGGAATGGGGAATTACATGGGAAGAGTTGGCAGGAGACTCTGAAAGTTTGCCCCTAACCAGTATCTGCAGGATACCTCCCAGCTGGGAAGGGGGTCCCAGCTTCCTAGACTCAGTGCAAGGTATGGAGGATGGAAGGGGTTCATGGAAGGGAGGGAGCAGCCCTGGCTTGTACCTGTGAGTAGCCTGGAGGCCCATTTTTGTTGAAGCTGCTACGACTTTTCAGGCTTTGTGCCTTTGCTCCTACTATTTTTTTTTTTTAATTGTGATAAGAACATTTAACATGAGATCTAGCCTTTTAACAAATGTTTATGGGTACAATATAGTATTGTTAACTCTAGGCACAATGTTGAACAGCAGCTGTCTAGAACTTACTCATCTTGAGTAACTGAACACCCCTGCTACTGAGCACTGTCTTTGAATACTCTTTTCCCTTCTTGTTTTATTGAAATGCTGGGTAAGCTTAGGGGCCTAACCTTACCCCTTCTGTCTCTAAGATGCTTCCTTGGTTCCCCTGGTTATAACGAACCACTCACCCCTAGGACTTCGCCCAGGATGTTATTCTTACTCCCTGAGTATAATCTACAGAGCTGGCTCTGCACATTGTGCAAAGGTGTGGGGTTGCCCGGGCCTGTGCACCCGTGGTTGGCCCACCTCTTAGCGTCTGCCCCCAGGAGGCCATGGGGCCAGGTGCATCCTGAGGAGGATGGCAGGGGTGAACCTGCGTGGAGCTCACCTGATGCTGTAGAGGACATTTCCATTCCGGGAGATCCTCAGCAGTTTGTTGTCAGTGGTGATCTCGTGGAAGTGGGCCCCCTTCTCGTTGGCGAAGAACAGGTCAGGCTTCCAGATGGAATCCAACATGGATGGGTCCAGGTCCAGAGAGTCATCCGGGTATTCATTGTAGGCCAGCCGGGGGTCGTTCCACTGCTGCCTCAGGAAGATGTTGACCCTATAGTCCTACAGCCAGGAGATAAGGAGGTGGAGTCAGGGTCAGGCCCCGGATGTCTGCTCTTGGAGGGCCCGGATGCTTTCGGTCAGTGCTCCCTGAAGTCCCTTTTGGAGAATTATGAGGATGGTTGCAGCTTATGTGGGTGAGACATAAAGTCTATGCCTCAGGAAAAAAGTCAGGGGATTCATCCCTGAAAATCCTCTCCATGCCCTATGAAGTATATTCAGCTCTGAACTGAGATTATTTAAATGGTATTCTTTTGAAAAAATTTAAAAATAAAGTTCCACCTGATAATAATAAACACCTGTTTTCATCCTAGTGACATTTTGTCACGTTTGCTTCATGTTTTTGACTAGAGAAATAGCACATCCCAGATAAAGTTGAAGTCCCCCTTTTATTATGGAGGCTGTCAGGGCAGTAATTCTCATGCACAGTGAAGTTTGAGAATCACTCTTCCAGGTAGATTGACGGAGCAAAAGGAGAGGCTGAAAGCTGCTGCCTGAGCATTCAAACTGTTCTGCTTGAAGAAAACAATTAATTCCCAAGCAGTGAAGGAAGGATGGGTGAATTCTGCGGTGCTCCTCCTGGTCCTAGAGTTCATACCACTCTGTTTCAATCCCAACCTTCTGCAACCTTCTATCACACATGTTGATTTATTTGTTTGGGGAGGATTTCCTTTTTAATTTTTTTCCTAATGTAAACTCTACACACAACGTGGGGCTTGAGCTTATGCCCTCAAGATCAAGAGTCGCATGCCCTACTGACTGAGCCAGCCAGGCGCCCCTGGGGAGGATTAATAGACGTGGAGTCACATCTTACTGGGTTCTAAACTCAGTGCTAAGTCTAATGCTTCTCGGATGGGACTGCAGTGTAGTTATTCTGCTGGGAAAAAAGTCATGATCAAACCAATTAGGGAAATGTTGGACTAAACCAAATGCAACTGATTTTTTTTATTGCGGGAGTTCTTGGAGACCATAATATGCTAATTATTTGTATGTATCTCCAAGAGGGGAATAGAATATATATTTCCCTGATTTATTTTGAGTACAGAACTCTTGCATCTTGTGCATGATGCTTGCCTTCTACAGAATGTATGTAGGAATTGCCGGCCTAGTCAAAACTCCCTCCCCCACCCCCCACCTTGGTTTCTTTTCTGGATGGAGAAACTGAAGTCCAGAGAGTTAAGACTGACCCAGGATCACTCTGAAAAGGCAGGTCAGAGCTGACTGTGGAGTGCAAGAGTCCTGACTCCTAGCTGAGGATTTGTTCAGCTGGTCCTAGGATTGCTGAAAGAGTCCATTCAGCAACCAATCACAGTCTGAGAAGCAGTTAGTGGTATGGGTAGGTCTCCATGCCAGGAAAGTGGGTCATGAAGTTAAGAAATATTTTCATGAAGAGGGCGCCTGGGTGGCTCAGTTGGTTAAGCGACTGCCTTCAGCTCAGGTCATGATCCTGGAGTCCCGGGATCGAGTCCCGCATTGGGCTCCCTGCTCGGCAGGGAGCCTGCTTCTCCCTCTGACCCTCCCCCCTCTCGTGTGCTCTCTGTCTCTCTCATTCTCTCTGTCTCAAATAAATAAATAAAATCTTAAAAAAAAAAAAAAAGAAATATTTTCATGAAGAAATGTTTTCGATTTTGTTAGGGAGGCATTGTAAACCTGGGATCTATGAATATTATGATACTGTAAGTAGAATTTGGGGTTTATTTGTGTTTTCCCAGGAAGAAGAACATGGCTGTCTATGTTGGATTCTCAAAAGGTTCTGTAGTTCCCCAAAAGATCAATAACCTCGGTTCAAGTCCAACTCAGACTGCTGTCCTTCCAGGAATCATCTCCACACAGGAGTGCCTGCTGCCTCCCCTGAAGGTGCTGGAGAAATGAGGTCATGCTACATTTTCTCTTCCTAATCACTCTCGATCTGTCATCAGCAGGGATGGACTAAAACAAACAACCCTCCTCGCCACCCTCACCCTCACCCCTACCAGTTCCCCCCACAGTACGTGCCTCATTCTGTTTGCCTCCAGAAATATCAATAGCTTCATAAAGTGTTCCAAGGTATTTTATAGGATTGTGCTATAATTTAATTGAAGCCTCTCCCTCCAGCCCCATAGAAAATGACATTTGGTCTCATAATCTCATGTCTTGTAAGTCCATTGGTGGAGGGAGGACTCTAGGCCAGACCTGGATGTTGATACTTGGTCTTTCCTGCTGACAGTAATGGACAGCTCCCAATCTGGCCACCTCTTACGGGGGAATTAGAAGTAGCCTCTCTTTCTCTCTTCAATTTTATGTGGAGTGTGTGTGTGTGTGTGTGTGTGTGTGTGTGATGGGGCACTGGGCAAGTCATGTCATAGGAAACAGACCATGAGTGGTGGAGCAGGAAAAGCCTCCAGTCCCCAAACCCCAGCTGCGCTTTTGAGGTTCTTGCCAGTGACATGTCAATTCTGTTTATGTGGCTGGAAGGAAGAAAAGAAAGTGGCATTTCTTAAAATGGTCTGTTAGGTACCAGGCGCTGTTCTAGATACTGTCTCACACTTAATCCTCGCAAAACCCCTGCAAGCTAGACATCCAAGTTCCCGTAGTGAGGGGAAGGGGACCGAGGTTTGGAAAGGTTGTGAAACTTGTCCAAGGCCCAGAGCTAGTAAGCGGCAGAGCTGGGCTCTGAAGGCCCGTCAGCCCCATCCGCCTTTCCGTCCCACAGGGGCGGATAGCCAGCTGGGTGCTGGGGATACTCCTCTCTCCTCCTTGTTGCCTCCGTGAATTCTGCCTGCTCAGCTTCAGCGGCGTCAGCTTCTGCAGGAGCCTTTAGCTTCTGCCCCCAGGCTCCCATGGCCTCTTCCTTTTCTGATCTCCCAGCAAAACAGAATCACTGTATGTGTCTTATCTCCTCCACTTGATCAGCAACAGTTCGAGAGGATGAACCTGACCTTACATTTCTCCTGCACCGTCTCGCCTACCCACCCAGTCAGTGCACCTAGGAGCCACCCAATACCCAGAGGGAGGAAGAGGCAAAGCCAGAAAAAGTTCACGCAAGAAGAGCTTTCCTCATTTGAGAGTGGAGAGCCTGAGACCCAGAGAGGGAAGGCATTTTCTAAGGTCAAATAGCAATTCAGTAAAGGACCCACGATTGGAACCTGAATTTGCGTCTCTAGTGTTAAAAGGAGTTAGGATAGATGGTCTCAAAGAACCCTTCCAAATCGAATAGTTAGTTGCTACTAGTTTAATTTTTTCCGGCAACATTTAACTGAGCATCTACTGAGCGCTAGGCACTGTTCTAGGCAATGGAGGATCTGCCGAGAACAAGAAAGACATATTCTTGCAGCCCCAGAGCCTAAGTGTAATGCTGACAGCACACGGACATAAGGGCTCCCATAAGGATTAAGTATAGGGTGCCAGGGAGGTGTAGAAGACAGGCCCTCCCGCTAGACTGGGGCTGGTGGTCTGGGAAGGCTCCAGAAGAAGTGATACTCAAGGTCAGACCAGATATGGTTGAGCCAAAGAAGACAAGCCCTCTGGGGCAGGAGGAACTGCATATTGGAAGGCCTAGAGGCAAAGCAGGGCGTAGCCCTTTGGAAAGGAGAGCAAGCAGATGAGAAAGGGGAGGACCGTTTACAGGGCCTCGCGAACTGCCCTGAGGAATTTCGGCTTCATCCTGAGAGTCATGTGGAGCCTTTGAAGAATTTTAACTAGGGGAGGACATTATTACGTTTGCATTTTATGACTGATATTTAAAAAATATTTTTTCTTATTATAAAAGTAAATGCATGTTGATGGTAAAAAAAGGTAAAGGCACATCCCTTAAAAGAAGAAAAACAAAGCAGAAGCCATAGGGTCTCGTGATGAAATGGCTGATGAAAAGTGAGAGCAGGAGACCTGGAGGATGTATCTGGTGTCCTCGGGCAGCTTGACTCCTCCTCCTGGCAGCCCCCACTCTGCCCGCAGCAGCTGCTGCCCAAAGAAGCTGTTGCATCGATTTTCTCCCCTCTGGTTGGGAAACGGCAGTAGGAAATGCAGTTTGGAGGTGATCGATGTAATTGGTGTAATAGGCTGAAGGCTAAAGGCTGTTTTGCTTAGTTAGCCCTGCAATCACACTGGTCAGTGTTCGACATGCTGGGGGGCCCTGTTCAGGTTCAGGGGCCAGAGGAGCAACATTTGAGTTCTCTACCCTAGAACCTCAGGCTCCAGCTCCGGTAGTTGGCTTCCAGGTCTCAAGCTCTCAAGGGTGGCCCATCTAAGTCTGAGGTGGGAGGGATTTCCAGAACTCTAGCTCAATAGTCTTTAGCATCAACTCACCCATCCTCCCTGTGAAGAGTCCCTGATGGTCTGCTTTCTGGTACCTGGGCAGCTACCTTGCTTCTAAGACCAAGGCAGAGCATTAATCCCTTCATTCACTCATTATGTCATTCAATAAACATTTATTGGCCGCTTTCCTTGTGCCACCTGCAGTGGGATCTGCCCCCCACTGCCACCCCCACTGTGTCTAATTTCAGATTCTAACCTTTTCCAGTAAGCTCCTCTAAACTCAGTACTGTGGCAAAAGAGGAAGCATGAAGCGTTTTAGTAGGAAAGAGCCTGTGTGAGTGTGCTGGTGAGAAGGGGATGTGGTGGGCGGGATGTTGTTACCATTGCAGTCAGAGCCAAGAGACAGCGCCCAAGCCCTGGACAAAGAACCAGATTCTTAGACCTTCCTAGGTCTCAGCATTCTGGCTCTCAAGGGATGTCTCTTCTCTAGACTCATTTCTACTCTATAAACGTGTATTAGGCCTAGAATGGTGAGGATGGAAGCATAAGGTCTTGGTTTCTATCCTCAGACAGTTCAAATTATCTAGCGGGCGAGGCAAGATATGGACACAAATATCTACCATACAAAGCTGACAGTGACAGAGGTCAAAGGGGTTTTAAAACATTGCTATTAGATATTGCTCTCAAGCCACTGAGATAGTTTCCAGCCAGGTTGGATGAATCTGGAAAAGCTTTCAGAGAGAAGGTGACATTGGAAATAGCCCCCCCCC